TCATTGCATCTTCTCATCTTCTCTTCGCTTCTCATTGCATCATATCATCTTCTCTTCTCTTCTCTTCTCTTCTCTTCTCTTCTCTTCTCTTCTCTTCTCTTCTCTTCTCTTCTCTTCTCTTCTCATTGCATCTTCTCTTCTCTTCTCTTCTCTTCTCTTCTCATTGCATCTTCTCTTCTCTTTTCTCTTCTCTTCTCATTGCATCTTCTCTTCTCTTCTCATTGCTTCTTATCATCTTCTCTTCTCATCGCATCTTCTCATCTTCTCTTCTCATCGCATCTTCTCATCTTCTCTTCTCTTCTCATTGCATCTTCTCTTCTCTTCTCATTGCATCTTATCATCTTCTCTTCTCTTCTCTTCTCTTCTCATCGCATCTTATCATCTTCTCTTCTCATTGCATCTTATCATCTTCTCTTCTCATCGCATCTTATCATCTTCTCTTCTCATCGCATCTTCTCATCTTCTCTTCGCTTCTCATTGCATCATATCATTTTCTCTTCTCTTCTCTTCTCTTCTCTTCTCATTGCATCTTCTCTTCTCTTTTCTCTTCTCTTCTCATTGCATCTTCTCTTCTCATTGCTTCTTATCATCTTCTCTTCTCTTCTCATTGCATCTTCTCATCTTCTCTTCTCATTGCATCTTATCATCTTCTCTTCTCTTCTCTTCTCTTCTCATCGCATCTTATCATCTTCTCTTCTCTTCTCTTCTCTTCTCTTCTCTTCTCTTCTCTTCTCTTCTCTTCTCTTCTCTTCTCTTCTCTTCTCATCTCATCTCATCTCACCTCACCTCACCTCACCTCACCTCACCTCACCTCACCTCATCTCATCTCATCTCACTGGATTTAAATTCCAAGGAAAACGATTCCAGAATTCCTTTTTTCTCTCTTTAGAAAGGGAAAGGTTTTCCTGACCGGTCAGGTCCAACTCTTGGGGGCTCATCTCTGTTTCCTAGCCGCTTCCATGGTCATATGGTCAGGAGCACTATACGCCAAGTACCGTTACTTTTCTACCAAAGTGGTACCCGTTTATCTACTTCCATTTGCATGCTTTCGAACTGCTAGGTTGGCGGAGCTGCGGCAGGAAGAGGTGCTCACCCCGTCATGTGGTTCTTGGGTCTCAAAGCGCTGACCTTTCAGTTGACAAGCCCAGGGTTTTCACTATTGGGCTACCACGCCCCCTTTTCTCTCTTTACCTGCTTTCAAAATGCCTTTTTTTTTTTTTTTGCCAGCAAGTTAGAGTTGGTCTCGCCTACTCCAAGAAAAAAATGCAGCGTTCGCCATCCATTTAAGTACACCTTACCATTTTGGATTAAAGTCGTCCATCTCGTCCCTCTCTTAAAAGGATTCTTCTTCCAGCCAGGGGGGAGAAAGCCACTCCAGTGATTTCCTGTAATTACGATGGGTGTACTCAGCAATGTTGTAATTGAAGCTTCAGCTGCTTCGGGCATGAAACTGACTCACGTTCCTTGGCGTCTTCTGGAAAAGGACCCACTGGGACATTCAAACCACCTACAGAGTTTGCAACAGGTTTACAAAGCCGGCTATTGTGTTGGGGTTGGACGAGGGAGAGGGATCTGGAAGCGCGGAGGCAGGAAATATTGGCTTTGGGACGAGGTGGAATATGAGTCACCTCCCTTGGATGACATACACCTGAGAAGTCTTTTACCCTCTCCAGGTTGTTCATATCTACTTTTGTATATATGTATGTATGTATGTATGTTATTGATTTTTAACTATAACGATCTCCAGTGCCTGGTATACAGCGTGTTGTCTTGGTTTATATTTTAACAAGAAAAAAAAGACGATAATCAATTAACAATCAATAATGTTGAAGTTTGACAATTCCATAATTAGTATATTAACTAATGACAGATTTCTTTGATCTTCCCTTCTCCCATTTATATTCTCCTTCAACCTTAAACAAAATATAATTCTTAATGTTTTCAATATGTAAATGGTTACATATAGCTATTTTTTTTGTATTTATGCAAATAATAATAATCTCCACGTGTGCATTTTGATGTTTAGAGCTGAGCACAGCCGGTCACTAATACAACCTGCGCCTTGAGTGGTAGCAGAATCCAGGAACATGCTAAATCTGGAACTTGCATCTTTTAAGGGAAGTGCAGCTTCCTCTGAAGAGAGAGGCATACCTCCTTCCCAGACCTGTGAGTTGCTAGTTCAGTGGCTCTTCTTTGTCAGGATTTAATTTCATTTTATTGCCCCACATCCACGCTGCTACATTGTCTAGATCAGGGGTAGGCAACCTTGGCTCTTTTATGACTCGTGGACTTCAACTCCCAGAATTCCTGAGCCAGCATGAGGGAGACTTTGGCCCCTTCATGACTTGTGGACTTCAACTCCCAGAATTCCTCAGCCAGCATAGCTCAGCTTGGAATCCTCTCCCTTTCCCCTCAGCACGGCTGGCTCAGGACTTCTGGGAGTTGAAGTCCACCAGTCATAAAAGAGCCAAGGTTGTCTACCCCTGGGCTAGACAAGACCTTATCTGATTTTAATGGGAAAAAAAACCCTAGTACATCAGAAATGTACTGATGTCACCAGCCCCATGCCCTAATTGGTATCATTTAGTGTCTCTTGTCTAAATGACAAGCAACACATTTGACAGGACAGGTATGCAATAATTTACTTACTGAATCCGACACCGAAGGCGAGAGCAGAACATCTGGAAACCTGAAGTCCCTTCACCTCCTCATTCCAGCCCCACTGCTCATTTGCAAACTGGAGTGATTGGTGCAAATAAGAATGCAGTCGGCCAAAGTAGTAGCTCCATTTGCATCGGTAGGCCGGTATCGGCAGCACACTTCAGTGGCACCGAAACGAACTGCAGGGCGAAGCCATTTTGCCAATGTGGCACTTGAAAACTGAGGGTGTTTGAGTTTCTCCCGATTATATGCACAAGCATCACAAAATATGCAGACACCTACATTTCTCCCACATTACTGCTATGGGAAATAGCTGGCAGGGGGGCAATTACTACATCCATTAGTAAATATGAAAAAGATCTCGGAAAAGCCAAGCTATTTTTTTGAGTTGTGCCTCAAAAGCAAAGGTGCAGAACATCGACTGAAACTACATAATCTGTCCTATTTCTTGGTGGCTCAAAGTAACTTCCTCTGTTTCTGCCCCGGTCAAATCTGTGCCTTCCTTGCTTAAAGCAACATCTAAAAAGGAATTCAAGGACCATATTCAAAATCTGGACCCATTTTTTTTTTTAAAATACCTGCTTCCACTTCCTGACATCTAAGAGAAACCACCTTGTTCTTAGTAATGAGAGCCCATAGTTATCATTCCCATTTTTTAAAACAAACAAACAAACAATAATGCTTCACCCTCAATTTCCTGTAAACAGATGCATTCTCTCAAAATAGCTGGTCTGTTTGTCAGCCTCCTCCAAGAAAAGAAGGCTAACAAACAGACATACTTTTCTCTGTTAAGAATCTCCGAAACGGGTGGGGTTTGAGAAGCAGGTTTTAGGTAATGTCTTGTGATGAACTTGTGAAGCCAGCCCTGTTCTAAGAGGAAGCAGACTTGGACAGGCAGTCATCTATAGCACTTGGGGGAATTTCCATGCTTTTCCCTGCAGATCTACTGCTATCGTTGTTGTTTTTTTCCCCAAAGAGATTTATAGCCTACCCATCCACCCTTGCCTTATTTGGAAATATTATTTGGAGACACAAAGTGCTCCACCTATTTCTATTAAAATGAGAGTAAATGCTGAAGCATGCTATTTCCTTTCTTTGATTTTTATCAAAGAAGGTTAAAGGGTATCTCTAATTTCCAGCTTTGATGGGATAGTATGCTTTTCCCACCTTTTTTTTTTTAAATACTGAATCTGTTTGAAAATATTTCACCCCTGAGTTTTTCTCCCAATGTGTGCAAAACAGGTGGAGGAAAGAAGGGTGAATGAGGGATCCTTGATGCTCTCTGAGCTTGGTGATTTTCTTGCAGACGGTTTATTACCCAAACTAGGAGTGATTGAGCATGTTACCTAGTTTGGATAATGCAAGAAAATCACCAAGCTCAGAGAGCATCATTTCAGCCCTGAGCTACAAATATTCTCCTTTATCAAAATGGTGGATGTTTCTGCAAGTCAAAAAGGGGTCTTCATATCCCCTTGTTGGATGGAGAACTCAGTGTTACTGGAGTTTATGTCGTGGGTGCCTGGGGCAAAGGCCTGGTCAGATGAAACTGCATCCCCAAAATGAAATAAATGTGGCATTTGTTGGGGATTCAGAAGGGGTGGGTGTTGGGCATATGTAAAGAGAATGTATGAATGCAGTTTGAATAATCCATAAAAATATAAGCACACAGAGCTTGTATATAGAATAAACTCATTTTTATTCTCAGTCCTGGAAGCAAAACAATACTGTCTTGGTTATCACATTTTTTATTTCTTAGTCCAGTTTGTTAAATTTTTAGAAATCAGGATATGCTGCTGGGTTGGGGTCTCTTTTTTGCTCCTGTCTCAGTCCTCTAATGCAGTGGTTCTCCACCTGTGGGTCGGGACCCCATTTGGGGTCGAATGACCATTTCACGGGGGTCGCCAAACAATGCAGTCCGCCATTTTTTTCCCCCTTTTCCTTAGCTATGCTACTCCTTTTTATTCTATTGGCTTTTGAAAGCCAATAGAATAGACTCTCTTGAATAGAGTCTAATTCTATTGGCTTTCAAAAGCCAATAGGAATTGTCCAGGCTGTCTCTGTCCTGCTGAGCCCGCCAAAAGTCCCATTCTGCAAACGGTGCTGCACCAGTTGAGTAGTCCTCGACTTATGACCGGTTGAGTAGTCCTCGACTTACGACCGGTTGGGGAGTCGCGGCATTAAAAAGGTTGAGAACCACTGCTCTAATGTATAATGATTCCCAGGGTCCTAACTACGGGCATGTTATGTTGCAAATGATAATGTGCGCTAGGATTGGGAGTATTCCTTGAACTGTTTGTAATGTGTGCAATATCACATCTCTCTCTCTGTCTCTCTCTCAGGAAGCCTGCAGACCTTCAGAACCTGGCTCCCGGAACACACCCGCCTTTCATCACCTATAATAACGAAGTGAAAACTGATGTGAACAAGATTGAAGAGTTCCTTGAAGAAGTTCTTTGCCCACCCAAGTAGGTGTCACTGAGATGGTCGGATAGAAGGGAAGGGCGAGATTGCTGTAGTTATTTTCCATCGTTGCCCTCGCTGGTTCTGCAAGTGTGGCTTAGCTCGCTGAATCCAAAGCTGTTTGGACTGCTCAATCTAGACCAGGGGTGTCAAACTCGCACCGTCATGTGACGTGTCGTTATCTATCATGATTTTTTTCCCCATTGCCGGCAAAGGGATGGACGCGGTTTCACCATGACGCATCCGGCCTGCAGGCCGCCAGTTTGACACCCCTGATCTAGTACAAATAGTCTGCAACTTGCATCTATTTCTTCAGCGATCTTTTGAAGTTCCTGTTCTGTCCCAGCCTACATGAGTACTTGCACAACTGCTTTACTCACAAGAAGAAACCCCTCTTCATGGAACTAGGCAGGACCCAGAAGAAAAAAACAACCCCCTTTTATTTTTACACACCTGACTCAATGTCAGTGGTTCTCAACCTGTGGGTCGGGACCCCATTTGGGGTCGAACGACCATTTCACGGGGGTCACCAAACAAGGCTGTCCGCCATTTTTTCCCCCTTTTCTTTGGCCACGCCCCTGGCATCCGGTGATGTATAAGTGGTTGGGGGTCACCACAACATGGGGAACTGTATTATGGGGTCGCGGCATTAGAAAGGTTGAGAACCACTGCTCAATGTCCAACACTTCAGAGGCAAGCCACACAATCCACAAAAACACAATCCTCAGCACGAATGGTTGCCTTCGTCAACCAGCACCTCCCACACCTTCTCCCTTTATAATCCAGCCGGGACATGGCTTCTTAATGACTTTTTCTTTGCCTCTCAAGCTGCCCCACTGCCTTCCTCTGTCTTGCTCATCTCTCTGCTCTGCGCATCTGCACATTGAGGATTGGCCCCAGTTGTTCCTCTTCGTCGCCCAACTCAGGCTCCCAAAACAGCTGTGTCTCTGCCCGAGCGTGAGTAGAAGGGCTGGCCTCCTCGTCTGACTGTGGGTCTTGGTGCTCCTCAGAGTGACTCCAATGTCACGCCAGGCCTCTCCTCCTCATCTGAGTCCTCAGACTCAGCTGCTGGACCCACTGGGCTGGTGAGGAATCACAACAGTTGCAGTGAAAAAGATGACTTACAACTCTGGTCCTCACACTTACGACCGTTGCAGCATCCCCACGGTTGCATGATCAAAATTTTGGCAAGCGGCTCGTATTTATGGAAAGTGACTTACAGTTGGTCCTCGCGCTAACAGCCGTCGCAACGCCGCCACGTATTTGTGTAAAACAAGTTGGAAGTGCTTCTTTTAAACACATGTTTGCTCTTTCTTATAATTTTTACTTTTTTTTGCTCTTCTCTCACCTGTATAGTTCTCTTGTCTCTTTTTAATCAATCTATTTTTCTTTTTTGACAACTTGCTTTGGGTTAGTTTTCATCTTTTTATTTTATTAAAAAAATTGGTGAAGTTATATTAAAATAAAGGCAATACAGGTGATGAAAAATAAAACACATCGCAGCTTGGGCATCATCCACAATTTCTTCTAATCCAGCGTTCTCTTTCTCTGATTAATAGTGGAGAGGCGATTAGTAAGATAAAGGAGATGCATCCTCTTCACTGCATGTTACTAGACACCCTCGAGCATGATAGCAATAGATTTATATACTGCTTAGATTTATAGACTGCTTCACAGTGCTTTTGCAGCCCTCTCTGAGCGGTTTACAGAGTCAACCTATTACCCCCAACAATCTGGGTCCTCATTTTACCCACCTCAGAAGGATGGAAGGCTGAGTCAACCTTGAGCCGGTCAGAATCGAACTGCTGGCAGCCGGGAATCAGCACAATTAGCCTGCAGTACTGCATTCTAACCACTGCGCCACCACAGCTCTCAGCATAGAATTCTTTTGGGGTTATCTACTTATCTATAAGAGGAGAAGATGCTAGAGATTTACCAGTGAAAATACGGATACTACTGGAGCTAGGGATAAAGGCAGAGCTGTTTCGAAGCTTACTCCTATTTTTCCAAGACCGTTTTTGTCTCAGCATTTTAAAAACTACTTTGGAATATGTCTGACTTTCCAGTCAAAAGTTCTGTCCTACACAACACTGTTTCCGCATGATGGGGTGTGAGCTATTACACTTTGTCGTGGTTAGATTTGGAATATTATGTTCAATTCTGGACAATCCGATCTGAAAGGGATATGGATAAATTAGGACAGGTCCAGAGAAGAGACACAAGGGGTTTTTGTTGTTAGTTGCAAAGTCGTGTCCGACCCATCGTGACCCCATGGACAACGTTCCTCCAGGCCTTCCTGTCCTCTACCATCTTCTGGAGTCCATTTAAGCTCACGCCTCCTGCTTCAGTGACTCCATCCAGCCACCTCATTCTCCGTCGTCCCCTTCTTCTCTTGCCCTCCATCTTTCCCAGCATTAGGCCCTTCTCCAGTGAGTCCTTCCTTCTCAGTAGGTGGCCAAAGTACTGGAGTTTCAACTTCAGGATCTGGCTTTTTAAAGAGCAGTCAGGGCTGATCTCCTCTAGGAGACACAAGGGGTACTGAACACCAAACACATCAAGGAATCATTAAAAAATATGAAGCTGATCTCATAGAGAACCAGTTTGGTGTAGTGGTTGAAGAACCAGGAGTTGGTGAGTTCTAGTCCTATCTTAAGCATGAAAGCTGACTGGGTGATTGTGGGCCAGTGACTCTTTCTCAGCCCACTTCACCTCACTTCCCAGAGTGTTTTATTTGGGGGGGGGGGGAAAGAGGAGAAGGAAAGAGTAGAGGCTACGCTGTCCACCTTGAGTTATTTAAAAATAAAGGTGGGTTAAAAAAGAAAAAAAAAATAGTGCTCTGGCACCATCTAAAAAGTTGTCGGTCGCAAGAGGTTGCTGTAGCTCTGTTCTTCATTGAAATTCAGAATCCGACAAAGACCGGCAACTTCAAATTAAAAGAAAGGAGATTCAGACAATATCAGGAAGAATTTCCTGTCGGTAAAAACTGTGGAACAAAGCAAGCAGAACAATGGCTTGCAGGCTAGCGTGACACCTGTGAGCTGCTGTTGGGATTTATTTTAGGACCTCTGGGACCGAAACATTTGCACAAAGAGCCCTCTCTTCCTCCCCTGCCCCCAGTTTCAGTCTTGGATAAGCTCATTTCACAATCTTCTTGTTGTTAGTTGCGAAGTCGTGTCCCCACCTTTCATATTTTTACGCCCTGGCCAGATTTGACCGGAGTCTGCAAAGAGCAGTTAAAATTCAAGTGATCGATTGATACAGAATTGGAGCACAGGTGGTCCTCAACTTACGATCACAATTGAGCCCAACATTTCTGTCGCTAAGCGAGACAGTTGCTAAGTGAGGTCTGCCCCATTTAGCAACTTTTCTTGCCAGAGTTGTTGAGTGAATCACTGCAGTTGTTAAGTCAATAACGCGATTGTTAAGTGAATCTGGCTTCCCCCATGAACTTTGCTTGTCAGAAGATCGCAAAAGGGGATCACGTGACCCCAGGAGACTGCAACTGTCAAAAGTACATGTCAGTTGCCAAGCTCCTGAATTTTGATCACGTGACTACAGGGAGGCTGCAGCAGCCGTTAAGTTTGAAAAATAGTCATAAGTCATTTTTTTTTCAGTGCCGTTATAACTTCAAACGGTCGCTAAACAAATGGTTGCAAGTTGAGGACTTACTGGATATTTCAACCTGAAGCATCACTTTACGGACTTCTTAAGGGGATATTGGACGGAAATCAAAATTCAAGTGTCGGAATGTCACAAATCCGTATTGAAAGGGATGTTACTAACAATGAGGGCTACAAGGAATAAGCCGAGAAGTCTAATCCTGTGTCCCAGCTCATGCTGTCACTTAATCTCTTTCAGGTATGTAAAGCTTTCAGTAAAACACCCAGAATCCAACACTGCTGGGATGGACATCTTTGCTAAATTTTCAGCGTTCATCAAGAATTCCAGACCTGAAGCCAATGAAGGTAGGAAGTCCGTGCTGTGTTCTTGGAGTGCTGTGTAGCATTCGGGCTGCTTCCTCTAATTCAGGGGTGTCAAATTCAATTTCATTGAGGGCCGCATCAGCATTGCGGTTGCCCTCAGCGGGCCGGGTGGGTGTGGCCAGGGTGAGTGCGGCCTACTGGGTGGGCGTGGATGGAGTAGGTGTGGCCTACTGGGTGGGCGTAGCCAGCTCTACATCATTTGCGTCAAGGGTACCTGTGGGGACAGATCTGAGGGTCTCTGGCAGAAAGGGGTGGGATCAGGGCAGAGCCCATCAAGCCGGATATGTGAAGTAGGCGAGGGCCATTTGCTGGCCACTTCCAGGCGATTGTGCATTTCTTCATTCCTCACAAAGGGTGACACCTTCCAAGCATGCACCCAGGGGGCGGGGCCAACACAGCAGGGGCTGGTTCCTCGCTGTTTCCAGATGGCCTTCTGGAGCTAAGACTGAATGCGTTTCAGCCTAGATGGCCACCACAAAATTGTACATTGGCTCCCGGCCGGCCTGGGCCAGGGCCATGGCAGCAGGGGCCGTTCCCTTACTGTTTCCAGGATGGCTTCGCGGGCCTCATGCAACCACTCCGCGGGCCGCATCCGGCCCCCGGGCCTTGTGTTTGACATGTCTGCTCTAATTAGTCTGCAGTGATGAAGGAAGCTTTTTCTTTATAAACTTACAGATAGGTAGTCCTCGACTTTCAGCAGTTCATTTAGTGACCGTTCAAAGTTACTGTCAACGCTGCTAACATCGGATGTTCTTGCTTTGACAACATCTGGAGATGCAGCCTTTTTCTTTCTTATGCTTTACTCTTCAGAGTTAGATGATGCTGGGGGAGGAGGAGGAATGTGACGGGAGTTAGTTTGACATAACAATATTGTAATAGTGTGTGAACTCAGGGCTTTTGAAATAAGAGATGATAAGAAATGGCGGGTTGGAGGACTGGAGGGAAAGCCTGCATTTCAAACTAATTGGAGAATGTGATTTATGACTGTTAATTAGAGGAGGAAATTGTGTTTGATACTATGTGCTCAGGGGAGGGGAATCCAGAATCTTCGCTTATGCATGTGCCGATGCTATGCTGCTCGAATAAAGATTCTTTAAGGTAAACAATGTCTCAAAGTTCTTTGAAGAGTTTCATCTGTCGGAAACATGACAGTTACAACGGCATTGAAAAAAGCGACATGGCTGTTTTTTCACACACTTATGACCGTTACAGCATCCCCATGGTCACGTGATCAAAATTCAGATGCTCAGGAACTGGCTCGTACTTACGACGGTTGCAGTGTCCCAGGGTCATGTGATCCCTTTTTGCGATTTTCTGACAAGCAAAGTCAGTGGGAAAGGCCATTGTCACTAATTTATCAACTGCAGTGATTCACTTAAAAACTGTGGCAAGAAAGGTCATAAAATATGGGGCAAACCTCATTTAACAACTATCTCAGTAACAGACATTTTGGGCTCAATTGTAGTTGTACGTCGAGGATACCTGTAGTCTACTTCTTCCCCTGTCCCAAACAAGTAGGTTTTTAAAAAGAGTTTTCCCCAAATGAGTGATATATTCAGATATATGAGATTTCAACTCCCAGCCAGCGCTGGGCAAGCTACATGTTACACAGAAGCTTGTGATGAACTCTGCTGGCCTCTCTTGCGGCTGTTTTCAGGCGCAGAAAAGTGATGAATTATTTCCTGTTCTAGTCTGCTGCTTCTCAAGGCCTTCCAGATACACTGTCAAGGCCTGACAGTGAGAACAATTAATCAGTGGAACAGCCTGCCTCCAGAAGCAGTGAATGCTCCAACACTGGAAGTTTTTAAGAAGAGACTGGACAGCCATTTGTCCGAAATGGTGTAGGGTTTCCTGCCCGAGCAGGGGGTTGGACTAGATGACCTCCAAGGTCCCTTCCAACTTTACTACTATTACTAAGAGTTAACATCTTTGCAACAGTACAAGAAGAACTTACCTGGAATTGGGTGCATCCGTTAGCAGAGAGTAAGCAAGGGCGAGAAACAAGCTCTGCCCTTCTAACTTCTACCGTATTTTCCGGCGTATAGGACGACTCGGCATATAAGATGATCCCTGACTTTGGCGCCGATTTCCATGCTTTAGAAAGTCGTCTTATACACCGGAAAATACGGTACTTTAAATGTGCCCCTCCTAAAATGGCAACGGCAATGAAGGTGACATTTCAAGATCCTGCCAATATTTTGGGTGTTGCACAACTTTTTAACACAATAACAGAGTTGGAAGAGACCTTGGTGGTCTCCTAGTCCAACCTCTTGCTCCAACGTTGGAGCACCCACAACTTCTGGAGGCAAGTCGTTCCACTGATTAATTGTTCTAACTGTCAGGAAATTTCTCCTTAGTTCTAGACTGGTTCTCTTCTTGATTAGTATTGTATTATAATACTATTGTATTGTACACATTAGTATTATAATGTATTTTTTTTCCTCTACCATGCTGTAAAGCCCAAATGCATTTCTTCTGAATTGCCAAGAGCTGGGAAGAGAATACTTTTTCCAGCACACAGACAAAGTCCTTTATTGAATGTTCCACAAACCAGAATTCATGCACGGTGTGTTGGTGGCAAATGCAACCTCTAGGCCAGTGAAGGCAAACCTTTTAGAGACCGAGTGCCCAAACTGCAACCCAAAACCCACTGATTTATCGCAAAGTGCCAACATGGCAATTTAATCTGAATACTGAGGTTTTAGTTTAGAAAAAACAACTCATACATTAACATCCTTTGTCTTAAAAGAAAAACACAATAACAAAGCTTTCAGTGATACCAACAACTTCTTACTGAAAGGTAAAAGTTTGCATTTGGCATGCTTTTGAACAATTAATGTGATTTTTGCTGTTGTATGCATGCTGATAATTTGTCTAACCTTGGCTTATACTTAGTAAGTTTGAGAGCAACACATGCAGCGCTCAGGTCATCTGTTAGTCTGTTTCTGGTGTCAGATTGGATATAATTCAAAGCTGAAAACAGCGCGCTTGCTCCGGAGGTTTGTTTTGGCTAGGAAGGGGCTTGAGAAATGGCTTTTTCCTGCGAAAACTTAGCCAAAGAGTGAGGCATACGTGCCCACAGAGAGGGCTCCGAGTGCCCCCCTCTGGCACGCGTGCCATAGGTTCGCCACCACTGCTCTAGGCATATGGAATTTCTGAATTGCCATCAGTTCCTTTCGGTGTTGCCTCAAATGAAACAAGGCTGCAGTAAGCAAAGCAGCATGCAAATAAGACGGGGAAACTCTGAACATAATTTCTGTACAGAATCGCTCATCCTTCGCATCCAGGAAAAGGAAGATATTGTTTCACATGGCCTGTAACACTAGGAGCAATTTTGCATCAGGATTAAAGGGAAGCCAGCTGTTGGGATTATTTTCTTGGGGATATTATTAGGAGGTGATAGATTAGGGGTCCGAAGGAGAGTACAACGAACAGTTACCGGACCTGGGTATGCCTAGTCTTTCAAAGAGAAGGGCTAGGGTCATATGATAGCAGTCTTCCAATATCTGAGAGGCTGTCACAAAGAAGAAGGGATCAACCTATTCTCCAAAGCACCTGAGGGCAGGACAAGAAGTAACAGATAGAAGCTTATCAAAGACCAAGCCCGCCTAGAATTAAGAACTTTCCTGACAAAACAATTAATCAGAGGCTTCTCTCCAAAAGTTGTGGGTGCTGCAACACTGCAGAGATTGGACAGCCATTGGTCTGGAATGGCATAGGGCAGGGGTAGGCAACCTTGGCTCTTTTATGACTCGTGGACTTCAACTCCCAGAATTCCTGAGCCAGCATGGCTCAGCTTGGAAACCTCTCCCTTTCCCCTCAGCCTGGCTGGCTCAGGAATTCTGGGAGCTGAAGTCCACGAGTCATAAAAGAGCCAAGGTTGCCTACCCCTGGCATAGGGTCTCCTGCTTGAGCAGGGGGTTGGACTGGAGGACCTCCAAGGTCCCTTCCAACTCTTTTATTCTGTATTATGTATCTGCTGCTTGCCATGCAAATAACTCTTTGTGGCCGTCTTTTGAACCTCTTGTAAACAATTGTAGGTTCCGTAGGGATGAACAACATAAATTCTTAAATTAGAGAGAGCACATTTGCCTTACAGAATCAACAAAGTGTGCTCTGCTCCCCAGAACCAAACCAAACAAAAAAAAGCCCGAACAGCATTCTTCAAAATGAAAAAGGTCTTCTGCAGTCACGACATAAGCCCAAGACTGAAAATCAGGCTTGTCAGATGCTATGTTTTTCCTATCCTGCTCTACGGAGTAGAGAGTTGGTCTCTGACCGAAGGCCACCTGAAGAGACTAGAAGCATTTGAAATGTGGATTTACAGGTGGCTGTTACATATAAGCTGGGTTGACAAGATCAGAAATGAGGAGGTGATAAGCCACCTGAGGAAATCATCAAAACAATTAAAAAACAAAAATTAGAATATTTCGGACATGTGATGCGACACCCAGAAAAATACGGCATACTCCATTTAATCCTCCAGGGAAAGATGGAAGGCAAACGAGGTCCAGGCAAAAGAAGAACATCGTGGCTTCAAAATCTAAGGGACTGGTTTGGACAAAACTCAGCAGCACTTTTTCATGCGGCTGCTGATAAAAACAGAATCACCAACATGATCGCCAACGTCCAATAACGAATATGGCACAAGAAGAAGAGGCACTTTGCTTCTGTAACTGCAGGTTTGTGTAAGTAAGTCTCCAGATCTATCAGCACTATCTGAAATGGGAGGAGGAACCTCTGTTTTTAGCCCAGGTTTCTGCAAGAAGACAAGTTGGGTTGAACAAGAGCGCCCCCCGGTGGTGTTCTGTGGGAACAACCAGTCCAGGGCAGCAGTGGAGATTTTGGCAAAAAAAAAAAAAAAAAAAAAAAAAAACAAGCCAAGAGACTTAATAGCCTAATTTTTACTCTGTACAGACCTTGTTCCTTCCAAAACATAGTACAGTTTACAGATGAAGAGAGCTTCTGATTGTGCTTTAAGCTTTTAAAATATATTTATTATTAGATTAATATCTCACCTTTATTTTGTTCAAGGCTGAAATGCCTTGTAAAGGGAGCTTGACTGTCAGGTGCAAAAAACCAGGAGCCAGGACAGAGTTCAAAAGTACTACAAGTTTGTCTCATGCTATCTCTACACAAGAATCTGAGCTAATGGTCAAGGCAAGTTGGCGATAAGAATCAATGGATTTCAAAGGGGGCTGGATTTATATCTCTTGTGAGGGCATATGGACTCCATACTAATGGTGTATTTGACCCTGCCCTCGGGCTCAGCCTGGCCATCTCCTACATAGACCATCTAGCACAGGGGTGTCAAACTGGCGACCCGCAGGCTGGATACATCACACGCAGGCCACACCCACCCTGTCTCTGCAAAGGCAAACAACGGCGTGATACATCACAATATGTTATGTGACACGATCGATTTCATACCTATGATCTAGTACAAGGGTAGGCAACCTTGGCTCTTTTATGACTCGTGGACTTCAACTCCCAGAATTCCTGAGCCAGCCATGCTGAGGGGAAAGGGAGAGGTTTCCAAGCTGAGCCATGCTGGCTCAGGAATTCTGGGAGTTGAAGTCCATGAATCATGAAGGGGCCAAAGTTTCCCTCATGCTGGCTCAGGAATTCTGGGAGTTGAAGTCCACCAGTCATGAAGGGGCCATAGTTCCCCCATGCTGGCTGAGGAATTCTGGGAGTTGAAGTCCACGAGTCATGAAGGGGCCATAGTTCCCCCATGCTGGCTGAGGAATTCTGGGAGTTGAAGTCCACGAGTCATGAAAGGGCCATAGTTCCCCCATGCTGGCTGAGGAATTCTGGGAGTTGAAGTCCACGAGTCATAAAAGAGCCAAGGTTGCCTACCCCTGGTCTAGCAGGAGCCTGCTAATTTTGGGGTGGCTAATAGGATAGAGAAGATTCGCTCTCTGGACTGCCCATCATCTTGGTTTTTAATTTTAATCTTTAACCTTTTACTCTATTTTAATTGTTGTTGTTTTTTTGCCCTTTTTAACTTTTTATTGTATTGTAAGCTGCTCAGATTCGCGGAACAGAATTTCTGCTGTTAAGTGAGACATTTGTTAAGTGAGTTTTGCCCCATTTTATGACCTTTCTTGCCGCAGTTGTCAAGTGAATCACGGCAGTTGTTAAGTTAGTAACACAGTTGTAAAGTGAACCTGTATTTCCCCATTGATTTTGGGCGACAGGGTCATGTGTGAAAAACCGTCACAAAGTACTTTTTTTAGTGCTGTTGTAACTTCGAATCATCACTAAAGGAACTGTTGAAAGCCGAGAACTACCTCTATTAGATGAGCAGCATGGAAATCCAATAAATGAATACAAATAAACAAAAACACCAAAAGAAATAATTAAAACAAATGTCAGAAGAAACAACCCAGTAAACAGCAGTGGTAAAAGGCAGTCTTCTTCTTGTGCCATATCTGTTATCGGACGTTGGCGATCATGTTGGCGATCCTGTTTTTATCAGCAGCTGCACGAAAAAGTGCTGCTGAGTTTTGTCCAAACTAGTCCCTTAGATTTTGAAGCCACGATGTTCTTCTTCTGCCTGGACCTTGTTTGCCTTCCATCTTTCCCTGGAGGATTAAATGGAGTATGCCGTATTTTTCTGGGTGTCGCATCACATGTCCGAAATATTCTAATTTTTGTTTTTTAATTGTTTTGCTGATTTCTCTTGGCTTTCCCAGGCGGCTTATCCCCTCCTCCTTTCTGATCTTGTCAACCCAGTTTATACGTAACAGCCGCCTGTAAATCCACATTTCAAAGGCTTCTAGTCTCTTCAGGTGGCCTTCTGTCAGAGACCGACCCTCTACTCCATAGAGCAGGATAGAAGGCAGTAGAAGTCATTAAAGTGAACTTTGAACTCTTCCCAGGAGGCTGTTTCTCCATCTATTGGCTACCATGCTGGCTGGGGAATTCTGGGAGTCGTAGTCCACACATCTTAAAATTGCCAAGGCTGAAAAAGACTGCTCGAGAGAGAAGTCAGAGGGATGGTCTAATTCTGCACTCTTGTTTTCCCCTTCCCCTGTGGCTTTTTACCCTACAGCCTTAGAGAGGGGTCTTTTGAAGACTCTGCAGAAGCTGGATGAGTACTTACTTAGCCCCCTCCCCGATGAGATTGACGAGAACAGCATGGAGGACATCCCTGTCTCTACACGCAAATTCCTGGATGGGAATGAGATGACGCTGGCAGACTGCAACCTGTTACCCAAGCTACATATCGTCAAAGTAGGTGGAATTTTGACCCAAGAACTGAAACAAGCCTACATACAGACTTAATGCTCAACTAAATATCCATGGAGATTCCCAATTATCCAGATCATGGTTGTCCCAAAGATGCTTTTCAAAAGGCAGCTGGACTTTCTCGGTAATTTTCCTTGAAAATGTTCAAAACTGAAGCAACATGGAGAATACTCAGTCCGGAACTGAAGAAGCTTCTTGGATGAGAAGCGAAACGTTTTCATGGAAAATAAGCAAGAAAGCCCAGATGCCCTTTGAAAAGCACCTTTGGGATTTAATGCTGGACTTTCAGCTAAATGTATGGAGCCAAAAAACAGTTTAAACTGTCACTGTTTTCTGAAACCCTTGTGTTGCGGGCTAATTTAGAATTTGCAGGATGACTACTGAATCGGGTGGAAGTTAAAAGAGGTTCCTGAAACAGATATTTGTTTAAATCGGCATTTTTCAAACTTGGTAACTTTAGGATGTGAAGGACTTCAACTCCCACAATTTCCCTGGCTGGGGAATTCTGGGAGTTGAAGTCCACCCATCTTAAAGGTGCTAAGGTGTGCATCGGTATGTTTTTGGGAGGCTTTCTGCAGGAAATCCGGTGAATTAAATGCTGTGTCGGTTGGTTTCGGAGAAGCTCCATTTTTAGACAGTTCTTTCTCAGGCCTCAAGTTTCTCCAAAATACCCTCCTGAAACCCAGTTCTTTCTTTGCTCCTAGATTGTGGCCAAAAAGTACCGCAACTTTGATATTCCCAAGTCTATGACGGGCATCTGGAGATACCTGAAGAACGCCTATAGCCGCGATGAATTCACCAACACCTGTCCTGGAGACAAAGAGATTGAAATCGCCTACAGCGACGTAGCTAAAAGACTCACTTAAAAAAAAAAAAGCAGTGTTTCACGTGTATAAGGAAAAGCTTTTTTTAACAGACTGCTCTCTCTCTCTCTCTCTTTTTTTTTTTTTTTGGTCTTTTAAGATAGCCATTTACTTTGCATGTATCTTGCAGTTAATTCAAGTGCTACACTGGGCAAACCAGGTACTGTCTCATTTGTCTTTCTCTCTTTTGTTAAATGCAAATTTATATTACACGGCTTACTTGTTTTGCCTCCTTAAAAAGGGCAACTGCAGCCATTAATAGGACTGTGTATAGCCATTCTGGAATCTGCCCCCCCTCCTCTTCCCAAAGTTAAGTGGTCTAGGATTTTCTATCCTAGTAAATAGGTTCTGGATTCAGATTAGTACCAGAGCCGGTTCATATGGACAAAAGAACCAAGTAATCAAGCTTTCTCCTGGAGTTCCCCCAGCAGAGGTGTATACATAATGGAACACTATTTCCACGTTAAACCCACACACATATGTACACCGTCTTAATGGGGAAGCTGGTCCTGTCTGCCCGTTTCTAAAGGAGCATTTTATGTGCAGGGACTTACAACTCCCCACCCATAGCTGTGGTGATCCTGTCTAGGGAAGGCTTGATGCCTTGATCATATATATTATCTTCATAAACTCTCCTTTGGATCTCAGATTGAACCGGGGTTTCTTAAGTTGGTTTAAGGGGATGGGCATCATATTGTATTTGGAAAAGAAGCTTAATTTTCTTTTTTTAAAAAGCTATACTGTTGGTCTGCCTGCACCAAAAGCTCTTCTAAATTTGCTTGCAGAACTCTTGGGCAAATTTTGGGTTAAGATTAGGGCTAGTACATTTGTCCATCAGCTTGACAACATTTTGGAACAAGGTCGAACACCAGGGTTGATGCCTACTCAAAGTGGGTCTGGTGAGGAGGAGGAAGGTGAATGGGAAATACATGTTCACCATATACATTCTCACACAAGTCCAGTGTTTTGTTTTGATTCCGGATCAGTTGTTTCTCAAACATGGCAACTTTTAAGATGGGTGAACTTCAACTCCCAGCATTCTGGGAGTTGAAGTCTACCTGTCTTAAAAGTTGCCAAGTTTGAAAAACTCTGCTCTGGATGATCAGCTTAGAATCTGTTAGTCTTCTTTAGAAGCTTGGTATCACTATGAATAATGAAACAAATTCCCAAGCTTTACTAGCAAGTGATTTCTTTTTAGGGCAATTAGGAACTTGTCAGAATGCAGAATTCATTTCTTAAGTAACAGTCAAAGCTAGGCTGACTAGAAGTACATAGGGGTGTCCATAGGAAGGGTGATCAGAAAAATCAAGATGGCGGCCACAAACAAGCCTGATTCAAACCACCCCCTTTTATAAATGTATTCTGATGCAGATTGATTGATTGTGGTAGCTATCTTGATTCCCTTGAACAGATTCCCTTATGCAGATCTCCACAAAAATACAGTAGCTTAATGGCTGAGGTGCATCCTTCATGCTTTGCTAAGGTCAGAATCTTGCTAAGTTCTACTGTTTTTAATTTTCAGGCAAGTGTTCTTTAAAAAAAATCAGTTAATTTGCCTTAACAAAACAACCTGCATAGTTCCCTTACTGTGATTCTTCCTGTGAAGCAAGCCAAGTGCCTTTTCCCGCCCTTTTATTATGGTCTTACATTGGGATTTATCTGTCTCCTACCTCTGTATATTTTTTTTCATAAATGCTATTAAGTTTCATTATAAGATTAAAAATATAGGAAAAAAAGTTAGAAAAATAAGAGAAAGAAAGATAAGAGAGCAACTCCTTACCTCTTTACCTGATCCATAATTTTTCATGCTGCAATCACAATATATAAAAAGGTCAGTTGTGTTTTTTCCACTTATAACAGCATCAAGGAATCATGCTGTAATTTAATTTCAAAAGACCAAAAAAGCCCAATAAATTTGATTTTCTTCCATGTAAAAGGCCAGTGCTTGAGGCACGGAATGACTTTTCCGTTTTCTTTAAATGCTATGAATAAGACGCTCCAAAACAGTCTTGCTTATGTGGGATTCATTTTTTTAAAAAATTGGTAATTTTTACATTGATGTGTGTATCTTTTTCCTTGAAATGCAAATTATCTTATTGTTTGCAAGGGAGTATCCTTCATTTTAAACTTTTGCTGACCAATTTGCAGAGCACAAGCCCCCTGAATTTATTATGATTTATCTTTGAGGAAACTTGCACAGAAATATAGGAAAACATTTTAATTTATTTTGTGTAACTTGGGCACATAGAAATAGAGCACCTCTTGTGTAAGGCGCTTGACCATAAGAGATTTTTCAAAGATTGTAGGTAGCAAGTCTTATATCACCTGGCATTTTTTTATATTAATGAAAAGATTTAGTCATGAATAGCTTTATATGCTGTAGTAATCAGTGCTCAGTCATTGCAGGGTGCAAAAAAATGGCCGCTGGTACGCAGCTTTTTATTGTTTATATAGAAATCACAGGAAGCAAAAGTTTCTATATGGCAATAGCATTTCATTGGTTATACTCCCAACCAATCCTCAAGAATATAGAAGCCAGAAACAGAATAGTTAATAACATCTTGTTGATGCGAGCTAGCTGTTATCAGACAGGCAAGCAAGGTCACACAGACCTGCGGCACTTTCACATTGCCATGGTGATGTAAAGGGGGGGGGAGATAGATGCAGAGAGGAGAGAAACACAGGCTTTGGAGGGGCAGTGTTCTGCACACGACCTTTGCCTGTCTCTCACCTCTACAATATGCGTTATATGTTTTTTATATTGCTGGGTCTCCTGACACTTCCTAAAACAGGAGTCTTCACTTGGCCCTTTTATGACTTGTGGACTTCAACTCCCAGAATTCCTCAGCCTGGCATGCGTGCCAGGCTGAGGAATTCTAGGAGTTGAAGTCCACAAGTCATAAAAAGGCCAAGTTTGAAGACCCCTGTCCTAAAATGTCCAGTATTGCCAAAACCTGTTTGGAGCTAACAAGCTCACAGCATGTGTCCCCCACAGATAATTGTGCAGTGTGGCAGAAATCCTAAAGAAAAAGAGTTATCATTTTTAACTTTCCCACTTAAATTTCAGAGACACTGGCTAAGGCAAAGACACTGGCCTTGGATTCAGTTGACTTCTACGGCCTTCTTCACGTTCCATAAAAAGAGAACAAAAAAGTAGAATTGCATCATATAGTCTGGCCTGGGTTCTTAAGTGGTCATGGCGACAAATGCAGAAGGAACAATACTTGCCCCTGTTTCTCTTCCTTGGTAAATTGAAAATTCAGTGGCATAAAAGCATCTCTTGAGACCAAATGCATTTCAATGCACCTGTGCGCCGGAAGAGAATCCTGCTTGTATTTTGAAGACGCTGCACAGTGGGGCCAGCAGCCCCTTTTCTCCCCATTCTCTGCTACTCCTGAACAGGTCAGGAATGTTTTCCTCAGCCTGAACTGAGGCATTCATGGGACCCTTTCCCAAGCTGTTGGTGCAAGCCAGAGCCTGTCCTTGGCCTGAATTTGGTAAACCAGAACAAAGCAATTCCCACAAATAGCGATGCATCTGCTCTATGTAGACAGGTCTGTGGCCCCCACAGATCAGGGCGCCCGTGTGGTGATTTGGGTGAGGGGCTCCATGGAGCAGAGCAATTTTTTTCCTAAATAAATTGAGAATGGCATGGGGTAGGGCGGAGTAGAAAATAGACCAGAGAAAGGAGCTCCATTTAAATACAATAGCAGAAATGGACTGGTGTAGTTTTTCCAGATAAGCAGCCTTAATCTGAGACGAGGCGAGAAGACCTTGGGGTTGACTTGACTGCTGCTCCAAGTGATGTTGCGATGAATCTGTTAAAGAGCATTTCCTTGGGCCTGTTTGAGGTGAGGTGAGGCACTAGGAATTCATAGAATTGCCCAATGGTCCTTAATTCTGGAATACAGGTAGCCCTTGCCATATGACCACAACTGAGCTAAAAATGTCTGTCGTTTAGGGAGGCATTTGTTGAGTTTTGCCTCATTTTACAACCTTCCTTGCCACACTTGTTAGGTCAGGGGTTCTCAACCTTGGCAACTTTAAGACTTGTGGACTTCAACTCCTCAGAATTCCTTTGCTGGCTGAGGAATTCTGGGAATTGAAGTCCACAAGTCTTAAAGTTGCCAAGGTTGAGAACCTCTGTGTTAAGTGAATCACTGCAGTTGATAAGTTAGTAACCCGGTTGTAAAGTAAATCTCTCTCCCCCCCCCCGTTGACTTTGCTTGTCAAAAGGTCGCAAAAGAGGACACAGCAACGTTCATAAATAGGAACCCAGTTGCCAAGCGTCTGAATTTTGATCACGTGGTCGTGGGGATGCTGCAGAGGTCATAACTGTGAAAAATGGTCATAAGTCACATTTTTCAGTGCCGTAGCGACATTGAATGGTCAGTAAATGAACTGTTGTAAGTTGAGGGGCTACCTGTAGTTTTCAGATACTCTGTCGGTGTTTCTCAGCCTTGCCAGCTTGAAGATGCCTGGACTTCCACTCCTGAGTTCCCCAGGCAGCATGGAACAGAAACCTGTTGACATTCTGCACAAAATTAGACAATTAACATGAACCGAGGTGGCGCAGCAGTTAGAGTGCAGTACTGCAGGCCACTTTAGCTGACTGTGTTCAGCAGGTCAGCGGTTTAAATCTCACCGGCTCAAGGTTGACTCAGCCTTCCATCCTTCCGGGGTAGGTAAAATGAGGACCCAGATTGTTGGGGGCAATGTAAAAATATATATATAAATATAAAATATAAATATATAAATATAAATATATATGTAGGTCTTCGGTTGTTTGGGTTTTCTCCCGCGTAAAATTGGAAGTGTCTTGGCGACGTTTCGATGAAGTCCCATTCGTCATCTTCAGGCTGGTGTTTTCAGCTTCGTGCTTTAAGCAGCAAGCTGAAAACACCAGCCTGAAGATGACGAATGGGACTTCGTCGAAACGTCGCCAAGACACTTCCAATTTTACGCGGGAGAAAACCCGAACAACCAAAGACCTACATACAAATACCCACGAAAACCTCAGAAAAACATAAGTCTCATAAATAAATAAATAAATGCAAGCTAGAACAGCCCCTGGTGAATTGGATCAGCTTTCTAACTAGAGTAGTAGTGAGGAGCATCACTACAGTCCATAGGTAAACCTGTATCCGTTTTCCGCTTTGCTTGATATGACCATCTCTACTTCGCCTCAGGCCCAAAACAGGTGCCCCAAGCATGTTTTTGGACCAGCCTTTACACTTCATTCTGAAGCCTGCAAATGTGCACTTTATAGAGTTCAGTGCCTGAATATGGATTAAAGGTGAAAATACCCAACAGAAAGTAGATGAAGTTGGTACACGTTTGGGTACGATAAAAAGACTGGTAATGGCAGCTCCTAGCTGTAGCCAAGGAGGCAAAATGCTTTGGGAAATTCCCCATACAACCCTGTGTGTTTCCAACTCCTGAAAAGATTGTTTATCCAGAAGTCAATCTAGGGGTCGCGGCGAAGATTTCCAGTGTGCTAGGAAAGAGCGACACCATCACTCTTTTCTTGAAGGTGAACCACGTACGTCAAGAGTTAGCAATATGGCATCTATGGGTACCAAGGCTCTCCAAGTCCCCTAGGCCAGGGTTAGGTAACCTTGGCTCTTTTATGACTTGTGGACTTCAACTCCCAAAATTCCTGAGCCAGCCATGCTGGCTCAGGAATTCTGGGAGTTGAAGTCCACGAGTCATAAAAGAGCCAAGGTTGCCTACCCCTGCCCTAGGCTGTCAGTAGGACTCTGGAATTCAAAAGGCTGAAATGTTACTAGCTGCCAAATTTCACACGATTTAGTTGTTCCTGCCTAAAGTTTTGTGGGATGTTGAGTAATTCACTTTAAGACTTACAGGGTTTCGAGCAAGAAGGCCAATCTTGCAATATTTTAGCCATTTTTAAGGGGGTTCCCCCTCCTCTTTATCCTCACAACAGTTGCATGTAGGATCCTCACCTAAAGTTGTCCCTGAGCTACTACCACTAGCTGGGAACTGTTGTCTTGAACGTGACAGCAATATTCTGCTGGCTGAGAAAGTATTGCTGATCTACTCAAACATCACTAAAGTTGCAGTAAAAACTTTCAACATGCCTAAGTTGTGTGCTTTCTAAAAAAAATAATACTGTCAGTTCAGCAAATAGCATTTTATATAACAGGAACGTGTTGAATTTCGTTGCCAAAATTGTGAAGCCCTTGCAATATTTCATTTTTTTATTTAGACAGAAACCAGTATGTCCTCCAGACACACCCCTTGATCTTGCCGTTTCTGTGAGAGCTTAAATTGGAATGGAGTGCGGTTTGTTTATGTGTGTTCTGGTTATGTGGTAGACATTGAAAAAAAATAAAGAATGGTTTGCATGGGAGGAAATATGGAATATTGCAAATAAGTCACCAAAGGAATTGAGCTGTTGCTGTTCCTTTTTAAAAACCAATGCTTTATGCCTTGATGCCACATTAATACCGTTATATATGTACTGGGGGCCATGTAGTAGTTAAAATTAGCTTTGTACATAGACATTCTGCCTTTCTCTTAAAATCTGGCATATATATATTTGCAGTGCTAAATCAACTGTTAATGCTGAACACTAATATCTTGTTTCTTTGAACTGTGATTAAAGGAGGAAGATTTATCTCTTAGGAAGCCAAGTTTCCTAGTTAAAGCCAAATTTCTTATCTTTTGACTATATCTGAAAAGATTATTATCCAAATTAAGAAAGTATATTGGAGGGGGAGGGGGGAAATCCCACATTTTAAACTTCACGGAATGGGCAAGATATTTATTTGGCTTTTGAGAGATACCTGGTAATCCATATGACATATTGTAAGATGCCTCTTTTCACTTTTTCTGGAATATCCTTTTAAAGATATACTGGCAAACTGCTGGCAGCTATTGTTTTAAAAAATAAAATATATTTTTCACTTAATGATGCTCTTGGCTGTTTTCTTGAGAGATGCTTAGATTTGTCAGGTTTCCAACATGTTTGTTTGTGTGTGTCTGTGCAGTGACTAATAATCACTTGTAAAACATGGGGATTTTTCTTAAATGTCAGTTGGTTTAAAAATGGCTATTTATCTGCCTGTGGCGCTAACCTGTCCCAATTTGATAAGAGAAGGAAACTGTCTTGATTCCCCAATACCTGGGAGATAATTAATACTTATGGGAATTATTTGGAAGAATGCAGAGCAATGAGTTATATAGAGTTGCATTATATAGCCGCAGCCTCCCAGGAATGGCTACACAGAAGATTCTTCTCTGTTTGCTATGCATTTATCCCAATTATTTTATTTAATGTGGTTTCAAATCATTTCATAAAAACTTTTATGGACAGGATCATAAATCAGTGGTGGTCGCTACCAGCCATCCAATGGAGCATAAGGGACCAGACAATGCGATGGGTGTTAAAACATTAAAGCTTTTGTCCTGTAGGTGTCAGTCTTCACCTTCACCGTCTTCCTTAATGTGGATGCTACAGTTGTGAAGACTCCTGCGAATCCCCTGGACTGCAAGGCGATCAAACCGGTCAGTCCTAGAGGAGATCAGCCCCGGCTGCTCTTTAGAAGGCCAGATCCTGAAGTTGAAACTCAACTACTTTGGCCACCTAATGAGAAGGAAGGACTCACTGGAGAAGAGCCTAATGCTGGGAAGAATGAGGACAAGAGAAGAACGGGACGACAGAGGATGAGGTGGCTGGATGGAGTCACTGAAGCAGTAGGTGTGAATTTAAATGGACTCCAGAAGATGGTAGAAGACAGGAAGGCCTGGAGGAACGTCGTCCATGAGGTCGCGATGGGTCGGACACGACTTCGCAACTAACAACCACAGTTGTGAAGAGGATACAGCTCAGTGTTACAGCGCCTTCTTTAAACCTTGAGCCTCGTCTTATTGTTTTTAGTATTAGTATTTCAGTTGCCTATTTTGTATATTTCTGGCGTGTGCATTGGGGTGGAATAATCTGAGCTGATCTACGTTGATTCTGTGAGTGCCTGCAGGGCTTTTTTTCTCATAGAACGCCCAAAACGGAGCTCCAGCACCTTTTTTAGATGGAACCTTGTAGGGTAGGCCAGGGCTTTTCAACTTTTTCACCCATTGTACCACTTTTAGGATATGGCAATATCCGAGTACCACCAGTCGCCTAGCAAGGTGTCGAAAACTTGATGACCCCCCTCCCAAAAAAGGATAAAAGTGATAAAGTAATCTTCGACTTACATCAGTTCGCTTAATGACTGTTTGGAGTTACAGTGGCACTGAAAAAAGTGCCCCACAAGCCACAGCCAAGCAAGACGCCTGCCTGCCCACCCAGCGCTGCTCTTCCTCCTGTCCAAGGTTTTCATTGTTGTGAGCATTTCTGTTGAGGATTGGCAGCGGGGGTGGGGTGGGGGGGTATTTGGTTTTTATTCCACCCATCTGCTGGGTGGTTGCAGCAGGTTTTGGTCACTTCACATGACCCTGGGACACTGTGACCGTCATAAATATGAATCAGTTGCCAAGCATCTGAATGTAAATCACAAGACCCTGGAGATGCTGCAACATTCCAGCTCGTCAGTGCTTCTTCTGGGCTCAGCAGAAGTACTGGGATCAGTGCCGAGCTCCAGCTGGAGCCTGGTGCTGATCCTGGTGCTTCCACTGAGCCCCGACAGCCCTGAAGAAGTGCCAATCAGCTGAAAAGCGGCACTGATCCTGGTGTTTCCACTGAGCCCCGACAGCCCTGTAGCTCCAGCCATCTCTCGCTCAGGCTTGTGTGGTGCTGCCGACAGTTCAGCTCATTCCCCTCCCCCGCTACTTTTCTAGGATGGTCGCATACCACCTGCCAGGTGCCAATGTACCTGTATCACTGGTTGAAAAGTCCTGGGGTAGGCAGGGCGGGTTGTATGACGTGTGTGAGTTCCGGCACCTTTAAAAAAAAAAAAAAAGCACTGAGTGCGTGTATAAAATTGTATGCATACATTAAATAAGGCATAAGTTGGAACAATCTCTGCTGCTCAAGTCAGCTCAGTGTTTCCCACCCCAGGAAAGTTTCCAGATGTCTGGACTTCAACTCCCAGAATTCTTAGCAATGGCCATGCTGGTTGGGTGGTGATTTTTAAGAGTCGAGACCTCACGCTAGAGAGCACTCAGGATTAGAAAGGCTGGTCTATTTAAGATTAAGCTAGATTTAGTAGCTATCTAATTTAGCTAAAAAAGAGGTTGAATCATAGTTTGGGAATAAAACAGACCAGGATCAGCAGCAAAGGATGTTTTCTTTGTGGACTGCTGAGGATGTTAATCAGGGAAGCAAAAGTTGGTTTACTTCTCCCAATTTATGTAACCATCCATGTCACCAAATAAGCTATTCCGGGCAGCATATAACAAAGGTAAGTAGTAAATTCCCCAAACTATTATTATTTACTTAGTTTATTTCACCTACTGATCATGGAGGGTGGTGCAGTGGCTCAGCTGTTAAGATGCTGGGCTTGTTGGCAGAAAAGCCAGGAGCCCGGGTTCCAGACCCGAGTACTACGTGACGGGATGAGCGCCCATCCTCGCCCCAGCTCCTGCCAACCCATCAGTTCAAAAGTATGTAAATGCGAGTAGATAAATAGGTACCACTTGGGTGGGAAGCTAACAGCTGAAATCATGCTGGCCAAATGACCATGGAAATTCAGACAGGGCAGACTCAATGGCCTTGAAGCAGAGCACCAGCCTGTATAGCAGCGGTTCTCAACCTGTAGGTCGGGACCTCATTTGGGGTCGAATGACCATTTCATGGGGGTCGCCAAACAACGCAGTCTGCCATTTTTTCCCCCTTTTCCTTAGCTGTGCTACTCCCTTTTATTCTATTGGCTTTTGAAAGCCAATAGAATAGACTCTCTTGAATAGAGTCTAATTCTATTGGCTTTCAAAAGCCAATAGGAATTGTCCAGGCTGTCTCTGCCCTGCTGAGCCCGCCAAAAGTCCCATTCTGCAAACGGTGCTGCACCAGTTGAGTAGTCCTCGACTTACGACCGGTTGAGTAGTCCTTGACTTACGACCGGTTGGGGGTCACGGCATTAAAAAGGTTGAGAACCACTGCTGTATAGTCAAAAAGGACTAGTGGAGTAAAATCGACAGGGACTCCTAAATTCTAGGTTTCGTAGGCATTTGCTTTCCTTCTTTTACTTGCAGAAGACTCAGATTCAAATCTTGGCATCTCCCAGTGCTATTTCAGTCCAACCAATCCAATCTGTCTACTCAGATTAATGTTTGCTCCTGGGGCCCTAAGCTCATCAGCTGGTTTCTGATGCTGTTAAGAAGCTGCACATGTCAGGAGTTCTCTTCCTCTGTGTTAACCACATGGCAAAACACCACGATTTATTTATTTATTTTTTGCAGGAAAAGATATCATAACTCCTATCATTATAAAAGGCAGATCTTTTTTTTCAAAAGGAAGCAGCAGCTTTTCCCAGGCAAGAAATAATTAGGTCTCATCATATGCTTAATTTAACGTCAATGTGACTTTGCCTTCTACTGCTTTCTATCACCACGCCTGGCCTGGATCCATTAGGCAGGCCCTGGAGGCGAAGGCTAGAACTGAGGACTTTTCCATCAATATGGTTGAATGAAATTGATTACGTCCTGGATGGGGTTCTTGATCAAAGGCTGCCAGTGTTTCAGATCGAAACAGAAAGAACGTACTGTTACACAGCCAGCATAACAGAGCCATAAACACCATTCTTGAAGCTGCATCTTGAACTTCAATGTTTCTTCCTAGAGATCATTTATTTGCTGCTTATTTGGTTTTAAAGCACAGGAGTTTCTTACGCGAGTCTATTGATCATTTTATAGGATTACCATCATTCTCGCTTACCCACATCAAGTCACTGGGTATCTCCTAGGTCACATCACAGTGTTCCTCTCCTTCTACAAAAGTGGGGATTGAGAAAGGTTCTCTAGGAACAAGGGAGGCTGGTAGAAACAGTTTAGTCTGACCATTCTGACATTACAAAAAAAGCAGTCTCCTAGTATCTGTCCACGACTCCAAGTGAATAGTAGCAAGCTTCACCATGAGCTGGCCAAAGTTCAATCCTCACTAGTACCAATAATGGCACGTAGGATCACTATTCTATGTTCTTTTAATTATTTAGACTGGATTTCTAGAATAGAATACCATTCTATTCTATTCTATTCTATTCTATTCTATTCTATTCTGTTCTACAGTCTAGTTTCTATTCACTAATCAGTTTCGTTTCTATTCTATTCTATTCTATTCTATTCTATTCTATTCTATTCTGTTCTACAGTCTAGTTTCTATTCACTAATCAGTTTCTATTCTATTCTATTCTATTCTGTTCTACAGTCTAGTTTCTATTCACTAATCAGTTTCTATTCTATTCTATTCTATTCTATTCTATTCTATTCTATTCTATTCTCTAGTCTAGTTTAGTCTATTCTGTTCTATTCTGTTCTATTCTATTCTATTCTATTCTATTCTATTCTATTCTATTCTATTCTTTATTGGCTAAGTGTGATTGGACACACAAGGAATTTGTCTCTGGTGCATAAGCTCTCAGTGTACATACAAACAACGAAGCAATAAATCATAAATTGAAAACCATAAGATACAATCATAAATCATTTTACATTTGCTAAGACTGAGAAACGCTGCCCTACACAGTTCCAGATGGGCCTCTCTGCACGTGAATTCACAGATGACCACTTAAAATTCATACAAGGAATCGGACCTATTTTTACATTTTACGTTAATTTTACATTCTCTGCTCAGACTACAGGGCTCCAGTTTCTATTCTAGAGGAATGATGCAAAACCTATTACCTTATATGGAGATACAATAGATGCAGACTATTGGATCAAAGAACCACGACTGGTTTCTTTTCTGTTCCTCTTCTAAAATATTTATTTGCAATTGAAATGATTGTATACAACTCCAGGCAGTTTTCAAACATAGTA